CCACATCCCTCTTGAAGTGCAGTGCCCAGAACTGGACACAGTACTCCAACTGTGGCCTGACTAGTGCTGCATAGAGGGGGAGCATCACCTCCCTCAATCAGTTGGTCATGCATCTGCTAATATACGACAAGGTGCGATTGGTTTTGTTGATAGCCTCGTTACACTGCCGGCTCATGTTCATCTTGGAGTCAACTATGACTCTAAGATCCCAATCAGCTGCTGAGGAGGTCATCCCCCAACCTATAGGTGTGCTGGGGATTCCTCCTCCCTAGGTGGAGTACCTTACATATATCTTTGTTGAACTTCATCCCATTTCTTTCTGCCCATTGATCCAACCTGTCCAGGTCGGCCTGTATCCACTCCCTGCCCTCCAGTGTGTTAACTTTGCCCCATAACTTGGCGTCATCTGTGAACTTGGCTCTCCACACCCTCATCAAAATCGCTGATGAAATATTAAATAACACCGGTCCAAGGACCGAACCTTGCGGGACACCACTGCCCACCTCCTTCCAGGACAAAAATGACCCATCCACCACCACTCTCTGGATGCGGTCCCTAAGTCAGTTGGCCACCCACCTGACTGTAAGCCTCCACTCCACAGCCTGCTAGCTTCCTTAAGAGAATAGGATGCAAAACTGTATCAAAGGCCATCTTAAAGCCTCAGCTCCAGTGTGAAGGCAGTGTGTGACCTGGTTGTAAAAGGCTATAAGGTTTGTCAGGCAGGATATACCTGTGATGAACCCATGCTGGTTTCCTTTCAGCATCATTTCCCCTGCTGGGCTTTCACAAATGCGGTCTTTAATGATTTTTTCCAGTGTTTTCCCAAGGATAGAGGTAAGACTGACTAGCCTAAAGTTACCTGGCTCATCCCTTCTCCCCTTCTTAAAAATGGGCACCATGTTGGCCCTTTTCCAGTCTTCAGGGACCTGGCCGGAGCACCATGAGTGCTGAAACAGCTGTGCCAGTGGCTCAGCTATGACACTGGCCAATTCCTTCAGCACCCATGGATGGAGGTCATCCGGGCCTGCAGACTTGTACCCAAATGATGGTCACTATTTCCCAGGTTACTGTGCACTCACAGGTTACCCACAAGATCATCCCTTGTTGCTAAGACCACATCTAGCAAGGCGTTACCCCTGGAGGGACTGAACACCTCCTGGGTTAGGTGAAGGTTCTGCATGCCGTTTAAGAACCTACGTGAGTGGTCTGCTCCTTTCAGCAGATGTCCGGGTAATTTAGGTCCCCCATGACCACTGCCTCTCTTACCTGAACAGCCTCTGAGAGCTGCCTGGAGAATACCAGGTCTAGCTCATCATCCTGATGAGGAGGCCTGTAGTAGATCCCCACTACCAAGTCCTTTTACCCTGGACCCCCCTGTATCCTGACACACAATACCTCGGTATTCCCTTCCTCTACCCCCGCCTTGACGATGGAAGAAGTGTACTGCTCCCTAACAGAAAGCTACACCCCTGCCTTTTTTCCACGCTGTCTTGTCTATACAACGTGTACCCCTCAATGCCTACTGCCCAGTCGTGAGTAGATCCCACCATGTTTCCGTTAAGCCGACTAGGTCATACCAGGTGCTAGCAAATAAGAGTGTGAGCTCCCCCTGCTTATTCCCCATGCTCCTGGCATTTGTGTAAAGACACGTTAGCCCCCGATGGGTGCTCTTGGTGCCCCTTTGCCTTGATGTCTAGAATTGTTGCTCACACTCATTTGTTGCCATCTTGTCTTACACTGTATTCTACAGTAAACTTGTCCTCTTAAACTTTCCATCTAGTAGGTCTGGCCCCAAACCTGATGGCACCTCAACAGGATTGAAAGCAACCACCTCCTCCCCTTCAAAAGCTTTTGAATTTAATGGCAGTTGTAGTTGAGCAATTTTCTGCTTGGTACAAAAGATCACCGATATTCCAGGTATAGTCTTGCATTTTTACTCAGACAAAACTCTCACTGAAGCCAAACTACTTGTGACCTTGTTGCTGTTGCTTACATTACCATTGAGTCAAGGAGACCCACCATGTGAGATGCTGTACAAATGGAGAAAAGTGGCTCATGCTCTTTTTAAAAAGCAAATGTTTTCTCCAATGTCTACGTTACCTTCTTTGGTTGCTCTAACTCCCCCATTTTTATTTCTGCATAAAGCAATACTGGGCACTGTATTTAAAATGTGGTTTTAACTGTATTGGCTTTATACAAGATTAGTCTGTGACATACAGCTTGATATGCTTAATCTAAACATGACAGAAAACTTGCTGTTTTCTGAATTAAGCAAAGCAGATCCATAAACACATTCTCTGTAGCTATCCAAGAGGAACAAGACACTTCAATATTTGTATCATATCTTCCAGATAAGAATATGGAATAATTATCCTTCACAAATAAAAGCAAGTAAATGTATCACAGGCAGTGTCAGCATACAGGTTTCCCTCACCAACCACAGGGGTTAGGTTCCCCAGAGTTTCCATGGTTGTCAAAACCGGCAGGACTGAGGGAGCAGGGGGGGGGAGTGAGAGGCACCAGCAGGCCTAGGGGGGCATGGGGGGGTGGTATTTTCCAACTGTACTCCCCCTTTCCCTGAAGCATGGATACTCAAAACCATGGTTGGCACCACCGAGGTTGGCGAAGGAAACCTGTATATGACAAAATAGATGAAGATGGACCGACACACCCCCCCCCCCCCCCCCACTCCACAGTTTATTGTCAATCAGCAACAACTCAAGAGGATTTAATTGTGTTGCACGTCCTTGCCTGGGTCTTGAAATGAGATTTAAGAAACATCATCAGGGAGGCAATCTGCCTCCGAGATGCTGTTCCAGATGGTGAGGACAGCCTGTGAGAAGGATCCAGTGCTCACTAAGGAAAAGGTTTTCACAAACAGGGGAAGTATTAATTGGCTACAATGTATCAAAAGCATTTTAAAATGAAGGGCGTAAAAAAAGAAGCAGCTGGAGGATAGAAAGGGATGACTGCCCCAGCTAGAAGCATAGGAAAGCCAGTTCTAGGGAGAATTTTGAAGCATGAAGAAGTTCATTAACAACATATTCTGAAAATCATTACAAGCCACAAAAAATTCTGAGGATTAAATATATACCCTCTGCCAAAGGCATCTGTGAGCAACAGTACTGTTTGACACGTGCAAATTTTGACTTAGAACCTTTGGAGAAAACATACTGGTAAGTGTGAACGGCGGGTGGCCTTAAAGAGACCAGGAATTGAGAAATGAGTAAGAATGACAGCAAGGGAGCTATTTAAGACTGCTTCACATAGAGGTGACAGACTGAGTTTCAGACATGACAGACACTGGAAGTAAGGCCGTTCAGAATGCAAAATGAGCACCTATTTTAGGCTGTTATCACTGGGTATGAAAGAAAGACTGATGTCAAGCATGGAGATGATGGTGGAAGGTACTTTCATCAGTAAGGGATTCAAACAGCATCACAGAGTTATTTAACATAAAGGACAATATAGGTGCAAGATCAAATGCACAGAAACTGATTGTGAACCAACTCTGGAGACAATCTCTAAACATTAGAAATGTGATGTTCTGAAATGGTCTTTCAGGCAAAATGGTGGGGCAGCGAACCTGCATTCCTTCAAGATGAAAGTCATAAAAGTATAGGATAAGTGACATCACATCCAATATCCCTGCGAGAGGCTGAAAGGGAAGTTGGGTTCTGGGTGGGTTACCTGTATAACCTAGCAGCTCCCATGTAGGCTGACAGATCTGGCTCACACGCACAGGGTCAACCAGACTGCCAGATCTGGGGTTAGGAAGGAGTTTTTTCCATAATCAAACTGATAAGAGCTCTTAAGGGGTTTTTATTTTTAGTGGCAGTGTTGTTTTAATTTTTGTCTTTTTTGTAGGGGGAGGGTTTGCCTTCTCCTGTAGTACTGCAGTGGTCCCCTTCCTAAGATCATTTGAGTATCCCTGACCTAATATATACTAAATTCCTTTACATGGCACACCTGCTGCCTTCTCTCTTGCTCTCTTATAATACTTTCTTTTTTTACCAGGTATTTTGTGGTTGTGATGCCGTGTGCAAGAGGGGCCAGAATGGATGCTGTTGTGGACAAATGGTTACATGCAAACTCAAGGGACTATACATGATGGCTCAGTAGGTCTCTTCCAGTCTTACTGCAAAAGAAGCAAGCACTTCAAGAACAGGAGAGGCCTGAGAAATCAACCCCTCTGAACCAATATTTAAATGAAATACCTATTTTCATAAATATGAATTTTTACAAACTATACCCCCCCTACATACTTGTCGAGTAAGGACTTTTTTGTATGCATAAAGTCTATATTTAATAAGCATTATAATTTTGCCCCCTGCCAGCAAAACTGTACTGTACAGGACATATTTATGTTCTTTTGAACATCAGGTTGGATTAGCTGCTAAAATAAACAGGTGTGTCCCATACTATTGCTTACCCTTACACCTCTCTCTCACTGTTATATGATGAACTCTGAACATTATCTTTCCTATCTTCTATATCTAGGATTCTATGAAAACTGTGACCCTTTTAACAGCATATGAGCTAACTCGTTACTCAAAAGGCTGATATTTTAAACTTTTAAATAAGGTAAGTAAATGTAGCAGCTTTAAGAAGACCTCATGCAAAGAAGAGACTACATTTGGTCAAACTTAAAAAAACAGGTCCTTTGTCATCAAGGCAAGCAGAAATATACCCAGCTGAAAGCACCATTCTGGAAAAGAATTGCCCATTTGTAATAACAGAACAAGAGACAAAAATAATACAATACAGACAATCACTTTAAAAGCAACTCCTACAGCTGTTCTATGAAGGACATAAGAAGTCAGAAGAAGATTCATATTTCCACTTATTTGAAACTGAGCCACAACTTCATGAGGGAACTTAATTCCAATTTCAGTTATCTATTTTAATTATATGTACTGAGCCACAGAAAATTCAGGTCCCTTTCCTTCTGAACTTAGGCGCAGGCTAATTTAAATATTTTTTCAAAGACTCATATTTACCTGATGATTCTCTGAGCAGCATACTGATGAAGTGAACGGAACTGTGCTGACATATTTGCTAAGGCTGCCAGACAATTTGTATGAAGGTATTTGTCCTGTTGGAAAAAGAGGGGAAAAATATATGAAACCATTCTTATCAGATACACTGAGACTAGTCATACAAAACCATTCAAAGGATTGAAGCTTCCACTGCTTAACAAAGGTGGTCTTCTGTCAGAGTGGAACTGCACTGTGTATACTTAGGAATGTTTAAAAGATTGATTACGGTGTGTGTTCACCAAATAGGGCTGGTCTCTTGTACAGGTACCATAGTATGCATCTGTATTGATATTTTAAAATATCACATGTGATGCATAGTGAGATGGCAATCAAAACTGCTAAAAGTCAGAGGAAAACTACTGTTATCATCTTTTATCTCTTTCCTTTCCTCTGTCCAACTCTGCACTCTTAGGACAGAGACAGACATTCAAAAAGCCTGAGCCTGAATTGATTCAATCTTTGCTGATTAGTCTAACCTGGCTGGGCTGAACTGCTTTGTAACCACACAGACATCCCCTCTGGACCAAGAAAATGCACTAAAGCAGTGGCTTTGTTAAAGAAATCCACAACACTAATAAAACTGCAAAATCCACAGTCCTCTAGGGACTGTAATATTCATTGAGCCTGTTCATGTAGAAGAGACAAGTGAACATGGATTACACTATTCCTCAATATGAAGAAAATAATAAATCTTAAGCACCATACAGCAAGGAATGATTTGTTGTAGCACATATTAAATGTGGTGGGAGTTGCTCGTTGTACGCTCACTTTTTGTGAAGAATTACAAGTCTGGGGCAGAAAGTAAGCCAACTACATTATTGACAAGTATTATCACTAGGCAGGGATTTTACTAACCCTTCACATAATGATTCCCATCCTTAAGAAGTTACTCTCAACTTCTCAGGATTAAAATATTCATTTATTCGCTTTGAAAGTTACACAGACTCTGAAATGCTACAAACAGAAGAGAACGTTCTTAGCATCTAATTGAGCTAAACGTACTATGGCCTCTGGCTCCTTCTGTTACTTATTCTGCCAGGATCCAGAAACCTATATATTCTGGCAGTCACTACAGGAGGCTGAAATTAGACATATATGAACACTCTATTTCCTCTGTCACCTGCATTTGCATGGCCTGGAAGGAACATATAGAGCATTCCAACAGAAGTGCTATGAAGTTCAAAGTACAAAGCTCCTCTTTTAAGCAAGAAAATTCATTCTGCATTGCTGGCTGGAATATATCCCAGGATGCTCAGAAAGGGAAAAAATCTGTTTCTAACTGGACAGAGAATATTTTAGCATAATTACTTACTTAAACTGAAGGATAAATTTAATAGATATATGGAATTTAATACCCAAATGCAGGCTATTTAGAATAAATTACTTTTCAAATGGCTCACAAACCATTATTCTTGTTTATAAATAGTTACTTGAGAAAGTATTGCTTATTTTTCATCTGATATAAAGCCTGTAACTAGCTATCAGCCTCTTTTTGTCTGTCTGTCTGATCTCACAAACTAAGGGCACCTATACATGTGCTCCAGGGGAGGGGATAGGCAGTGTTTTAACTAGAGCAGCCTTGGGAGCTGCTCTAATTAAACTGCCTGCAGCATCTCGTGTATTCAGTGTCCTGTATTTCAAAATGGCAGCTGGGGCATTTAACTAAAGCTTATTTGACAAGCTTTACTTAAAGCACCCCTGCCACCATTTTGAAACGCGGGGATGGTGAATACAAGAGACGCTGCAGCATGCTGGAGCATTCTGACTAAAACACTCCAGCAGGCTCAATTAATCGAGTCTGCTCCAACATTTGCTAATCAGAACATGTCAGAGCATGCATGGAAGTGCCCTAAGGTTACAGGCGGTTAATACATTTCTTGGTCTTGTTATCTGATTTTCTTGTTTGTTTGGCATGAACACATTCGTTTCAATTTTTCTTTTATATTCTCTGATCTAGTGTACTGTTAACACCATGCTTTGGTTAACTTACTGCAAAAATATTTTCACCCATGAAAGAAACATGCAGAAGTCTGTAACATAGCTGTATGTTTTGCTATAACAGCAAGGGGGAAGAGGAGGGGAGGGAGCCCCCTCTGCTGCACAGATCTGGCCCATCTCCCCCCTGCAGAACCCAGCCAACAAATGGCGAGGAGGCCTTCACAGCAGGGCACTCCTTTCCCCCGGCTGTGGTAGAAACAGCAGTGCGAGTTCCCTGCACCACTTTTCACTGTGCCAGGAACTCTGGCCGGGGTAAGAAGGTAGAAAAGGAGTCCCTCTGCCAGGCCATCCCCACCCCCTCCGAGCTTTCCAGCTTGGCCCTTGGGGGCAGGGCTGAGCCCGCACCACAGGGGGGCTCCTTTTCCACCCCTTCCTCCTGCCAGAGGTGCCTGGCAGGGGGAAAATGCCAGCACAGCAAAAAGCAGTGCAGGGATTGTGCAGCACCACTGTTGGCTACAGTTGGGGGGAAAGGAGCCCCACTCCTGTGGGAAGAGGGTCCAGCCTGGCTCCCAGCAAGACCTCAGCTAAGAAGCTTGGGGGGGCACCCAGCAGGGGGACTCCTTTCCCTCATCTGCAGCCATTACCGGCAGCGTGAGTTCCTTGCTCCACTTTTTGCGGCGCAGGAAACTCTGGTGGGGGGAACAGTAGAAAGGAGCCCCCTGCCACAGGGGAGCCCAGCCCAAACTCCCCCCCCCCAAGACGCCAGCCAGAAAACTGGGGGAAGGGAGCATGCCTGGCAGGCTGCTCCTCCCCCTCCCTCCCCACCAGAATTTCCCACATAGCAAAAAGTTGCACAGGGAACTTATGATGTGGCTGCTCCTGCAGCTGGGGAAAAGGAACGCCCCCACCCCCAGCTTGCTGCTGGAGTCTTAGGGGGCTGGGCCGGGCTCCACTGTGGCAGGGATGCTGCTTGTCAGTCCCCCCCGCCAGATTTCCCAAAGCAGCAAAGCGGCACAGGGAACTTGTGCTGCCACTGTTGTCTGCTGCTGGGGAGAAGGGGTCCCCCCTAGCCGGGCTGCAGTGCACCACAGGACCAGGCAGCAGCACAGACAGAAACCCTCTTTCCCCCACTACGCATTCAATGTAACATCTGTACCTAGCCTTAGAGACTTACTCATTGAGAGGCATAGGATTTTGTAGGAAACAACCTACTTCATTCATAGCATCTGACAAAGTAGGTTACTGCCCATAAAATCTCATGCCTGTCTGAATGAGCTAGTCTCTCAGGTGCCCTGCCTAACTTCAGGCTAACACAGCTAATTATCTCTCTATGGGGAGAAGACAGGAAATGAAGTTTGCCATCTTCAGAAGAAAGCCCACTAGTCCTTGCTTTTGCACAGGTCACTTAATGATATGCAGAAGAACACAAAAAATTAATTTTTAAAGTTGTTTCTGAACAGAAATGATTTTGTCCCATCCCAGTTACACCATCAGCTGATTGAACACTATTAATTAATAAAAGCAAAGCTAAAACCATACTTCCGGACACTTTAATACAGGTGGAAAGTACTATCTATAATATAGTTATCTGGGAGGCTAGTATTTCTTTTCTGACCTGACGTCTGTTATTTTCTTTCAGGATCCAGACATAAGTAATACATCTGGGCTAAGGATTTTTGTGATGAAAGCAATTACATAGAATAGATACCATCAAACTTATTTAACAAATTTAGAAGCAGTTAATACTCTATTTAAGTGCTGCCCTCCCTTGCCTCTATGCCTGGGTGCCAATTTGCTGCATGAAAGGTTCTCTCTTCGTTTGTTTTAACCATTGTTTGGAACTGAATTCACACCGATTAAAGACTACAAATAAATGCTAAAAATAACTCTTACCCTTGTCCTTGTCATGTTGTACTGAATGGTTCTTATTACCACCAGTATAAGGAGACTCCCCAGTGAAATCTCTGTTAGAACACGCTCCGAGTACCAAGTAATATTTTTCAATATCTGCAAAGAAGAACAAAAAGGGTCTTTAACACTATCCCTCAATTATGAATGAGAGGCATAAAATCATACAGTTCCCTGGACTCTCACTTTCCCCAAAACAAATAAATTAGCCTCCAGGATCAGCCCATTACAGCATATTGTGTTCTAGGATCTTACAAAGGACCCTGCGGTATTTTCCAACCTGCAGATCTCATCATGTTGAATTGATGACCTCACATGCAGAGGTCTGGTGTGGAGCTGGATAAATAAAAACACTGGTGTGTTGAACCCACTCACTTTAAGAAGTATCGGTATACATATATACACAAAATGAATGCGTCTTGAAAGACAACTTAAGGGACCAGCAACATTCAGTTGATTGATAGACATGGCCTTATAAAGTTGGAGAAATAGTGTACTCAGTACACTTGGGATTACTTCAGACAAGCTAGTAAATAGAGAGGTTGCTTTACATGGGTGGTTCTATGGAGAAATTTCATTTTGTACAAATAAATGTCATTAGTAGGGGATTTATTTAAAAAGAGCACAGCACCACAAACAAATCATACACCAGGGAGCATATGCAGCAGACCTTTACTAGTCAACCTCCTGTCTTAAAAAACATTCTAAAATATTACCATTCTTGGGCAACAGTGTCTCTTTTTACCAGGACTTTCAGTGGCACCAGGAACTACCAATTCCCCGAACCACTGCCCATGTGAAACCTTATGGTTTCATAGTTTCTAAGGCTGGATCTGCTTGCCTGTCAGATGGCAAGCAGATTTATCCATTCCAAAGCAAAGTAAAGTCAGACACTCTCCTCTAGTCTGCTGCTCTTTATGGGGCAGAGGATTTACCTCAGGGTAACCTTCCCACAAAAAAAGACAGTGTGGGGACCTAGCAGCCAATGCTCTCACACAAAGACAGACATGAAGGAGCAACCAATGAAGCATCCAAAAGACAGGGAATAGATGGGACTTGGAAATATTCAGGCTTCTAGCAACTTCATACGCTTTGCAACTTCATGCCCTTTACACCCACTTCTTTTCTAAGCATAAGGGGGTGGTTAAGGGTCTTCATATAGTTATAACTCCTGCTAGCAGGAACGTGGGAGATGTCTACAGCAAGACAGGGAGGGAATATGATAAAGGCAGCAGTCAGTGTTCTGAAGTCTGCAGGGGATTTTGTAGGTATGCGGCAATAATGTTCCTGACTGCAAAAAGCTGTCACAAAATCTGGAACCAAAGCAGGAAAGAGAGAGAGAGAGAGAGAGAAGGAGCAGGCTGACAGGTACAGTAAGAGACACTACAGCACCAACTGCAGAAGATTAGTGTATAATGGTGTAAAAGAAGTCCTGGCATTGTGATTCAACCCTATCACAGGGCAAATCGTTTCTCCTTTGAAAATAAATATATTAACTATGCCTACACAGCAAAAGTTCTGTGATGATACGATAGTCTATGGCAATGATTTAACCTGGAATAATATTCTTCTCAGGGCTGCTCAACTTCTCAGTGACTGGAAGCCACAGCCCCAGGGGCTACACTAGCAGGGGTTGCACTAGCGGGGTCCACAGTTCCCGTCCCAAGCTGCACATGTGTGCACCTTGCCACTGTGCCTTGCTTCACCTACAGCTCCCTGGGGACTCCTCTGTGGCACCATGCAACATGGGTGCTCTGGGCTGCTGACTCCCCATGCACTATATGCCACCCCATCCACTGGGGATGGGTCAGGGAGTGGAAGCTGGAGAAGGGAGGGAGAGCCCCAAGCCCCTGGCTGCTGCTGCAGAGGGGAGAAGGGGCCTGCATGTTAACCCCTTGCCAGCTGAATGAAGCATGATTGAAAGAATAAATGCATGACTTGAGATGCAGAGACCCACACCTCTCGTGGACAGAAATGGCAGAGGATATAGTCAGCATTTTTAATATTCAGCTTTTAAATTTACAAGTGAAAGGTTAATTATACATCGTATATTTAAGTTATGGGACGGGGTGTTTGCTAATCACTGAAAGAACACCAGGAGTGCGTGCCACACATTT